CTTTTTTTTTTTTTTTTTTGTATCGGGGATTGAACTTGGGTCCTCGCGCTTTACGAAGCAGGCAGTGGAACCACTGAGCTAAATCCCTGCCATGCAAGTCCTTTTGTGCCTCTGCCTGCCGGAAGCTGAACTGTTGGTCACTCTAGGTCCTTCCTGAGAACCCTGGGGTGCCATGCGAGACAAACTGCCAAAGTAAGGGGATGGGGCAGCCTCGAAGGTGGGGTAAGGGAGCCTCCTGTTCCCTGCAGCTCCTGGGAGCGGGCAGGCATGGGGCCACGTCAGAAGGTCCAGGACACGCCCACAGCCTGTCGCGTAGGGTGCCCTTGTGGGCATCTGCGCAGACACCAAGGGACCCAGCTGCTTCGTGTTCTTGCTGTACTCAGCCCTCTACTGCGGGCAGGACCAGCCCTCCTCCGTCTGGATGTGAGGGAGGGGCTGGGCACTTCGGGGATAGAAATAAGGCTGTGCAGAAGAACAGCGTCCACAGGGAGTCTGGAGGCACAGTCTGCCTCCCCTGGTTCCCTGTGGGCCTGATCTGGGGAAATTGGCCAGGCCAAAGACAGTGCAGAAGCACGTCGCGTGCCCCATCCCTGCCCTGGGGGCGCCACAAAACCAGCGGGCAGGGACTGAGTTTAGGACAGGACTCGCAGGAGAGGTGAGGAGGACAGAAGGGAACCTGACTGTCAGGCCCGCTCCTCTCCGTGTCTGCCTCTCACACCGGTGTTCTCAAGCCCCTTGCGTGTTTCTAACATGAGGAAACCACCTCGAACAGAGCAGGCTTGGGCTCTGAGCTCATCTTCCCTATGCCTATGCCCATCTCTGTGAGTGGCAGGGAACCCTGGGGTCCACATCCAGCCTGGGCCAGGCCCTGCAGGACGAGCACAGGCAGCGGACGCTCGTCCTGTGAGCGGCCAGCCTGGGTCGCGCTGTCCCCTGGGGCAGAGCCACACGTACGCTCTTGGGAAGGAAAGCCAAGGTGTGGGGGCAGGGGTCCCAGCTGAGGGCAGCAAGCCTCTGCTCCGCCTCCTCCTGCCCACTTCCTTTCTCTTCCTCAGCGTCTCTCTCCTGGCGCATGCCACACGCGCTTGGGCCCCTGGAGTCGGAGGGTGCCCGTGGGCCCAGGGACCTCCCGCCACAGCCGCAGCACAGGTGGTACGTCTGCTGGCCAGCTCTCCTCGCCTGTCTCCCCTTTCTGCCACCTCCGTACCTGACCCCAGCTGTGTCCCCTGACCAGAGCCTCTCTCGCTGCCCCCTCCCACTGTGGGCTCCGCCTCTTGCCAGCTCACTGAAGGGAGGGAGCCATCGTCGTGGCGGGGCCAGGTCCCTGTGCCCTCTGCTCGTCACTGGGGAGGCGGGCTGGGGGTGCTAGTTGTCCCCCAGGAGCCCCGGAGCCTCTAGGCGTCTGTGGCCCCCAAAGCGGCGGCTCACCTGACGCCCATCTTGCAGTCCATCACGCAGGGCGCGTCGAAGTCGGCCAGCAGGTCGTCCATCTGGTTGTAGCGCTCCCCATCCTTTACCACATCCCCGTGGTAGGCGGGCACGAAGGGCCGCAGGACATCCGCCATCAGCCGGTCCAGGCAGCGCTGCTCTGCCTCACAGTGCTTCTTCAGGATCCGGCCATTGGCGGCGGCCTTGAAGCTCCCTGCACGGCAGGCAGAGGGAGGAGGCTTTGGTGCCCAGCCCCCCAGTCTGACCCACCACCCAGCCTCCTTGGCGGGGCACCTGGGCCTCCCTGGCTGAGCCGTGCCTGAAGAGGTGTCCAGGGCCTGGCTGTGGACTGCACTCTGAGGGGAGCATGTCTGAGTCCCCTCCCTGACTTGGAGGCCAACCTAGCACCCGTGGCCCCCACTCTGCATCCAAGGACAGCAGCACACTGGCACCCGGACAGTGTGGGAAAGCTGTCCTCCCCTCGGCACTGCTGCTGGCTTCCCTGCCCCATCTGGGCCCTGCTTCTCTGGCAACATGGGTGGCTCCTGGTCTCAGCAGAATGGGTCAGGGCAGGGGACAGAGAGAGCTTGGACTTGGGCACCGGAGGAAGCTCTCCTCCAGGACCACACCCTGATGTCCAGCCACGTGTCTCATTTAAGTGAGATGTCAGACTCTGTGCTGGCCTGGTAACAACCTATAGGCCAGTGAAGACAGGAAGGCCAGGCCCATGAGCAGCCCCTGGCTCGTTCCCCAGAGGCCACACATGCCAGAGGGTCTCCACACATGGGGCAGGTGACTCTGGAGACTCTGGATGCCCCCCTCCCCGTGGCTGGTGGGTGACCTGAGCACCAGGCAGCCCCAGCTCCCGAGCCGTCACCCGGAGGCTCTCGCTGTCCTGCAGCTGTCGGTGACTTGCCTGCATCTTCCACCAGCGGCAAGCTCCTTCGGGCAGAGACTACGTCTGCATTAATGCTGTAACCCTAGGACCTTGGCAACGCAGGTTACAGGAGGTGCTCGGGGAGGCGGCAAGCTTTGCCTCTTTGTCCAGGGTGACAAATGGTGGGCAAGCTAAAGACTGATGACTTCGTCTGTTTTACTGAGTAAAATTGGAAGAGAGCTTGAGAGAGAAAGAAAAAGATTGAAAGCGGGAGAGACCGAGGACAGAGGGAGGGAGGAGGTATGTGGTGCAGCCCAGCTCTGGAAAGGTCACACGCACATCTGCAGGGCCACGTGAAGGCCACATCTCACAAGTGGCCGCAGCCTCAGACTGGACACCCGGAGAGAAGCCGTTCTGATGCCTCGCTGCTGGGAGCATGGTCTGGACCACTCTTCCCGCTCTCCAAGTGCCTCCCCGAGAACCAGCCCTGCACCGGCCGTCCAGGAGCATCCGGACTACCTGCATGTCCCGCCAGCTGGATCCAGGGATACTTCTTCTTGAAGGACATGACAAAGGGAGACCAGTGCACCATGTTTTTTATTTTCCTCCATGATTTGCTCTGGAAACAAGCAAACGAAAGCTCTAGTTAGAAAGACTGCCACAAGGCCGCCACCACTTTCTGGGCAGGATGAACTCTGAGCACAGCAGCTCACTGTTGGCGGCCACTGGACCGGAGCTACCCAGCCCACAGTGCCACCAGAGTCTGCGTGGCACACGGCACAGCTGCTTTGTCCCGCTTGACAAAGAGGTTGAGCAAATGCGTGGGAGGACAAGGCTGGCAGGCGCTGGTGGGTGACAGAGGGCAAAGCTCTCCCAATCTCGTGCTCCCTCCCGGGCGGTGGAACCGAAAAGACCTCCTCCGAGCTGAGAGCAGCAGTCCCTGTGAGGGAGACGTGGCCACAAACACCCCCTGCCTTAAGGGGGTGTCAGAGGAGAACCTCCCGTCCGAGGCCTCGGGACAGCAGGATGAGCTAGCAGCCCACAGCTCATCTTCTCTTCCTTACGTCGAACCGCCAGGCCTGCCAGCGCTTGGATGAACGTTTGAGGAACAGAAAGAACTAGGATTTGCTGAGCACCTTCTATTTTGTTTGCACCATCAGTACACAACAGTTATTATTATTTGCATTTGGCCCTGAGCATCCAAGACAGAAGCAGAAAGCTGGGATTCAAATCCTCATCTACATCATCCCAGCACTGTGAGAGGCTGAGGCTATAGGACTGCAAGTTTGAGCCCAGCCTGGACAACTAAAGACAGAAAGACCCTGTTTCAAAATACAAATAAAAACATCTGGGGTTTAGCTTACTGCAAAGGAAAGAATTACCCCCACTAAAAAGTAAATAAATAAACCTTAATTTACAGAACTACTTATTTAAAAAAAAAAAATCCTTCCCTCCTCTCCCTGCAGCAAAAACCATTTCCATAGAAAAAGAATGCCCTTGAGTTATTTTAGTAAGAACAGGACTGGGAGGTGGCCACAAGCGCCACCCCCCTCCAGCCTCCCAGCACCAAGGGAGGAGGAAGAGCAGGAAACAAGTTCTGGAGCCCAGGGACAGCAGGACCAGGAGATGCTGAGCCAGAGAGAAGCCACCAGGGTGGCTGAGGAGCAGCTGCAAGAGTCCTGCAGGAGAGGGAGGGGACGAGGGGTCCTGGTGTGACCGGGTGCTCAGCAAACGGGACTCTCCACTCCCCACCCGGGGCACCCAATCCTGCACAGCAGAGACAGAAAAGTCTGCACAGGCGGGTGACAGCAGCCCTCTGTCATTTCTGTTTGTCAAGACTCAGCGCCCGTCATCCAGTTTCCAAGCAACATCTATTTAAAGAGGAGGGTTCTTCCCTGCTCACTGGGTGGCAGCTCTCATCCCATCCTGAACCGCCTGTTCCCCTTGCCTCAGTGAGGGTTGCACAGCGCTGAGGCTGCTGTCAGGGCCTGGGCCAGGGAACAGGCCAAGGATGGAGCACACAAGCGACTCTCACCGTCCTGCCCGGCCCAGAGGAATGGTCTCGGAGACCACAGCACCCACCCCAAGGGCCACCTGCTCCTGGTAGACACTGCCTTCTGGGCATGGGTGAGGCTGGTGAGTGGATGGTCTTCCCTCCAGGGCTCAATAAGGGAGCCACAGGCCTCAGAAGCAGACTCAGGCCTCTCATCCTGAGCAGAAGGTGCCAGGGTGAGGGCAGAGGAGCCTTGTAACAGGGTGGAATTTTACCCTGTATTGCACTCAGCCTGGCTCTCGGGAGAGTGAACAGCAGCTCAATCCACTGCATCGCCATCTGAATCAGACCACAGGCCCAGGCCCCAGCTTCTCCAGCGGAGCGGTAGGCAACACAAAAGCAGCCTCCACAGGCCCAAGATGTGGTGGCAGAGGTGCCTGGATTCCTCCTGATTTTACTGCCCTGCTCCTGCACAGGAGTGCCCAGAGGCTCCACACATGACTGCTCCCTTCCGGGCCCTGGGCCCGTGGTCCTCCTGTGTCCATCTGAGGCTGTGAGCCAGCTGCCAGCCCTCGTGGAGGATACTGAGTGCAGCACAAGCAGACTCGGTCTGAGGATCCAAGGAATGGCCTGGTGGCCCTCCTAAGTCTGCTGAGCACTCAGGCAGGGGACTCATGCTGACTGGCACGGCTTCTGTCACTCCCCAGGAGATGGGGGTTCACTTCAGCAAACACAGGGCCAATGTGTGGATTCCCTTACCACTTGCTATGTGACAGGCACTGGGCCAGGGGTATACGACCTTGTTCTGACCTTCACAACAAATTATGGTAGTTAAGAGTGTGTTCTCCATTTTGCTGATGAAGGACCAGGCTCAACGAGTCCCTTCCTGTTCTGCTGAGAGTAGGCACCAGCTCACACCGGGACCCTCCCATCAACTCACCAACACCCGTGCCTAACAGCAGCTAGGTACAGGGTTCCTTCCAGCCCTGAGACAGCGTGTGAGGGGCAGGAGACAGGAGGTTGGGCAGGAAGAACAAAAGGAGGATCCTCCAAGGCAGCTTCCTGGGGCACCCAGGGTGCTAGCACAGGAGAAGTCTTCCAGCTGTTCTTTTAGCAGAGGAGCCCAGAGCCTTGGAAGAAACTACTACCAAAATCCTAAAGACACCTCACCGGCTCTGGATGGAATTCAGAATTGTGATGGTCAAGGGATCTCAACAGGCAGGAAAAGCCCTGCAAAGCCGCTGTGACAATTGGGCAGGAAGAGGGCACAAGGAGAGCTGGAGACTCACGTGGACAAAGCTGCTGGTGCATTCTGTGGCCAATGGTTAAACCAGCCAATGCCCAGGCAGGGGTCTTCCAGGAGGTCTTGAATTTAAGAGCTTAGATTGATGCTACCAAGCTCTGAGAATTAATACCCTTGTGGTTCAACAAGCCTGGCCTGGCTTTGCTGGGTGCTCACCCTCAGGTAGACAGTGCCTTCTGGGGACATTTGTCACCCAGCTTGTCGTAGCCCTGAGCTTGTGATGAAAGACACAGGGTCCCACAGTAACTCCGCGCGGTACAGTTCTCACTCAGATACGTCTGCAGAGAAAGCATCAGAGACCCGCTTGGGATGGGGTTGGGGACCTAGCTCAGAGGTGAAGTGCCTGCCTAGGGGGCACACTCCTCAGTATGAAGAAAAAGGTCCTGCTCCAGAGCACTTTTGTCCCTTGCACATGACTCGAAGTTACTAAAATATCTGGAGAGCAATTTGTAGTGGCAGAAAAGAAACTAACAAAACCCCAACCTTCCTCATGCTTGAGATGACAGGTGGGAAGGGGGAGTCTGAGAACCAGGCCACACACTGCAGGCCCGTCCTGTAGCATGGCGCCACCCTGGCTGCAGAGCCTGGGAGGAAACCGTCCGCTTGGGACGCTGGGACATGGCCATCTCTGGCCTTTTCCTCTTTTCCCTTTCCCAAGAATTTGTTTCAAGAGCAAACGTGACTCCGCTAGCTAGAGGCTAGTGTCACAGTGGGTGCTGCACTGCTCAGACCCATACTGTGGCCCTTCCTGGGCCTGCCTGGGGCCTGGAGAGTGCAGGGTGGAAAGTGCCCACATCCAGTGGGTGCCTGAGCCCAGGCTGAGCTCACAGGCATGGCAGGGAAGCCTGGGCAGAGTCTGGGCTATGTCTAGAGCACATGCCTTGGCCAGGCCTCTTCTCCCATGGGGCACCCCAGGCTTGCTGCAGGGAAACACTGCCCGAAACAAGGAAGAGGGCTCCCTGATGCCTGGCATGTCTCCCACAGAGAGATCAAAGGTGGGGTGGTAAGGAGTGGGAGGGGAGAAGGCAGGGGTGCAGGGCATCGGCTGTGGGACAGAGGGGGCTTCACGCCACCCCACTTACAAATGGCTTTTGCTGCCATTAGGGTTGGCTACATATGTTCCAAAATGAGTAAGAGGGGCCTCTTGTCCAAAATGCAGCAGATGTCCAGGTGGGAAGGGCAGGGCCCTCCTCACCTTGCTGTGACAGCACCAGTCTCATGGGCACCCAGGACGCTGGCCCTGTGTTTGGTGGTGGCAGAGAACGGACCCAAGACTCCCAGGAATGGAGGGAGAGGGTTTGAGGCTGTATGCGTCTGTGATCTTGGGTGTCAGAGCTCCCTCCCAGCCAGCTGGGCCCATAGGCTGAGCCATGTTTCCTGCAGGCTTCCAGGAGGAGGGAGACCAGACCCAGCAGGCTTGAGCACCTGCAGGTGGGACCTGGGTGAAAGCACTGGGAGAAAGGCGCAGGTCCAGGTGGGCAGGCGCCTGCTCATTTCCCCAGGCTCCATGCTCCTGTCTTGTCAGCCTAGTCCAGAGAAGCAGGCCTGGAGGCCGTGGCTCACAGCCCTAGGCCGTCAGGCAGTCCTCCTCACCCTTGACCCGCCCACAGTGAAAGCCCTCTGCCTGGGCTGGTGGTCCGCTACAGGCTGCACAAGGAGGCAGAGCACAACTCAGTCCAGGATTTAAACAGAACCTTCACTCCGCCTCCTCCGCACGGCTGGGTGCTCATCTGGGCACAGGGCACCCTGGGTGGTAGCCTGACGAGGGGGCTCCACATACCGCAGGAGGCAGGCAGACCTTACCATCACTTTGGTTTCAATGTCTGTGTATTTTTTCCAAGGTACAGTGGTCTGGCTGAGGCCAAGCAGAACTGGATGAGCTCACTGTGCGATCCATTGCCTGCAGAGCTTCCCCATGCTCACAGCTCAGAATGTGGGGTGGATCCCCAAGCCCTGGGGCCCAGGTGACACAGCCAGTTCCCTCTGGCTTGGGTCAGTGAGCTGCAGAACAGACAGCGGAGTCCAAAGATCCTGTTCCAAGCACTCGGGACTCTGCTGGGCACTGCCAAAGAGCAGGACTTGGGGAGCCCGCAGTGTGATGCTCCACAAATCTCACTTCCGATGTAGGTTTACACGCTCAGCCCCCTCCCGCTGACCTGTCCTCCAACTGGCTATCTATCCAGCATTTTCCCTTTTACTTAAACAGTCCCACAACTTGACAGCTTATTTTTATATAATTATAAGCAACCCCCATTTTTAAAGAGCATCAGGAAAAATAATAATCTCTGTAACCCGTGACTCTGAAAACTACCTCCAGACTGAC